AAAAAAAAAAAAAAAAAAAGTTGGTAAGTTTTACGTTATGTGAATTTTACCACAGTAACAAAATTGGAAAAAATGTACCGGGGCGGAGAAAAGGAAAAGGTCTATTTGCATTTTTGGATTTCCTTGGGAAGGTGACTTGGTTGATCATTAGAGCGTTGGCATTGTTGGCATTGTTAGAGCCCCGCACCTTATAACATTAGCCCCTTCTTTTCTTCATCTAACGTTCACCGTGTGCCAGACACTATGCCAAGCTGTGCAAATTCAGAGATGATAGAAACTGTTCTTAGTGGAACTCACGTTCCTGACAAGGGGTGGAACACGTGTGTAATTTCCAGTCAGTGCAGAAATGCTGTCAGAAACATTTCAAAGGGGCTTGCTTATTGGAGCAATGAGTTCTTGAAGGAAGATGTGGGAGGGGACTTTCAGGGCTGTTCTTGGTCTGACCCTGACCTGCCTCATCTTTCATTGCTGTATGTTCTCTCCCCGTCTCCCTCTTCCTGAGTGCTGGCCTCTTGTGCCTCTTGTGACTGTGGACCAGACCTTTAGGCTTCCATGGTTGAAAAGAGATTTATAAAGATGCTTTCATTCATTACCTAAAGAACTGGACCAGTTTGCCTACACTCTCCAATAACAAATGCCCTTATCACCTACCTTTCTGAAAGAACAAGTAAGCTTCGTCCACATCTCCGAAAACAATCCATATTATCTGTACTAATCATTTGGTATTTACAGTTCCCAAGTATTGCTTTCTTACTGCTGGCTGCGTAAATGTGAAAGTTATATCTTTTTAAAAATACAAGTCTGCATTCTTTTTTTGTTTTTCTTTATTGGTTGGTATGAGGTTTCAGGAACATAAACCTCATAGTTGGAGAAATAGTAGCCTTGGAGACAGTGGAGTTACAGAGTAAGTGAACTTTAGAGGCAGAAGTTTGCCTTTAAATCTTGTTTCTACTGTTTTCAGTTTCATCTTCTGTGTAGCAGTGTTATAGTAGCCCCAAGGTAGCTGAGTAATCTATGTAAAAGTGTAAGCAAAATACCTAGTGTTTAATAGGTGTTTGTTCCATTCCCCCTTGTGTTTTCCTTCACTCTTTACCTTTCCCATTAATTGATAACAGAACTTCCCCAAATCACTTGATTATGAATTGTAAAATGCCCTGATAGTAATTTCTCATGGAAAATTACAGTACTGTAAGCTATTGAATTAAAAGGAAAGTGAAGATGCTACTCACTTGGATTTCAGTTTTGAATTTTATTTTATTTTTTGAGACAGAGTCTCACTTTGTCACCCAGGCTTGGAGTGCAATGGTGCAATCTTGGCTCATTGCAACCTCTGCCTCCTGGGTTCATACTGTTCTGCCTCAGCCTGCCGAGTAGCTGGGACTACAGGCACACACCACCACACACAGCTAATTTTTGTATTTTTAGTAGAGACGGGGTTTCACTATGTTGGCCAGGCTGGTCACAAACTCCTGATCTCAAGTGATCTACCCGCCTCAGCCTCCCAAAGTGCTGGGATTATAGGCGTGAGCCACAGTTTTGGATTTTATTTGAACAGTCCTCTTGACTTCTTCTAGTTCTGTTGATTACTTATTTTAATGGAAATTTTTCTCTCTCTCTTTTTTTTTTTTTT